TTCTCCTCCACTTAGAGCCTCCTCAGCGTCTGCCAGCTTCCACACAGGCCTCATAACCCCATCATGCTTCTCTACCACAAGCCCCTCTTAGCAGCTTCATTGGCATGTGATTTTCAACATCACATGCCGCACACTTGGCTCAAGGGATGTAAATAACACGTGCTTCCCTTCCACTGGAAAGAAAGACACATTCGTCCATTATTCTCATGTCAAAAGAAATGCTCTAGTCAGCTTCCTTGCATGACAAAGCATATGGAGGTCTCCAAGGGGCCACTGGGGTTGTAATGAGATTGAAGCATTCTAAATAACATTTAAATTTCACTGAAATGCCAGTAGCCCCTTAGAGGACAGTATATATAGACAGCAAGTCCCCATTGGGAGCCTGGCAGTTGACATGTACACAGAACCCTTAAAACGGTAAAAGCCACCTAAAACTATTCCCTTAGATTACAGCCGACAACCACCCTCAGTGACACTAGAGATCAAATGCCCTTTGGAACTATTCTGAGAGGGCACCATTCAAATATCTGGGGACTGGCTATTTCTTAGGGTTGGAGCTCCCCTTCCTGATCCTCCTATGGGAAAGCATGCACTGGACAGGTTGGCACTCCACAAAGCAGACAGTCCTGAAGATAACCAGGTGTGAAACTATGGAGGGTTTTCAAGATAGCAACCAGAACTTTGAATGATAGTCAAGAGCCCATTAGCAACCAGTGCAGTGCCCACAGCACTGATGTTGTATGCCTGTGGTAGCTCTCACCCACCAGAAAATGGGGTGCATTTTCTGTACCCATTGCAGCTTCTGTACCCATTGAGTGCATAGGGTTACATACTAACCCTAACTCAAAGGCAGCCCTAAGTAGAACACGTTACAGTAGTCCAGCCTCAAGGTAACAGGGGAGGGCAACTGTTATCAGGCATTCTGCTCTAGGTAGAGTCATAACTGAAACACCAACTGAAGGCCACCTTAGATGGTTTCCATCTTACTGAAATATTTCAGCTTCTTCCTTCTTCTCTAGCCCATTACAACTTTCAAACACCAGATCAAGACTTCCACAGAATCTTGGGTCTGGATTGGAAAGAGATACACTCTCTCCCTCTCCCCCTCTCTCAGTGTGTGTGTGTGTGTGTGTGTGCGCGCGCATCATCACATACTGATGATACCTTATATTGTACTGGCTGATGATGACTTCACCCAGTGGTTTCATATAGTTAGTAAACAGTAGGGATGACAGAGAACAGGGATGTCTTATCCTCCCCACAACCACCATCAACTGGAACTACCCGCTTAGAAAGGAGCAGAACTACTTGAAGGATACCATGATTAATGGCACTGAAAGCCGCTGAAAGGACTAACAGGACCAGGAGGGTTGTAGGTCCTGACAATCATCAACCAGAATCTCCAACATTGTTTCCATCCCATGCTCAGGCCTAAATCCCGATTGGAAGGAACGCAGATAATCTGCTTTATGTAGGTTGCTTTGCAGGTGGAGGCCCACCCATTGTCAACAACCTTTCCTAAAAAGATAAGGTTAGAATCTGAGAAGTGGTTATCTAAATTGGTCAGATCCAGAAAGGGCATATTCACAAGGGAATGCAACATTGCCTCCTTCAAGGTGGTCAAATCATCCCCTATCTTAGCAAGGCACTACCTCCCTGACTCAACCACTCACCTGACACAGAAACCAGATGGGCCATGGGTCTAGCCCACAGGTGGCAGAGCTCATTCCAGAGATTACTCTACCCACTTCCTCAGAAGCAATAGCTGAAAAGAATCCAGATAACTTCACAAGGTACTATTCCACTGATTCTTTGGACCCTACCCGTGCAGAGTTGATTGAGTGAATTTGAGTGATTTTATCAACAAAGGGTAGCACAAACGTCTCTTGGTGACCCTGAAATAGATCTTCCTGCTGCATCGTGCCACCCAAAAGGGAGCAAGTCACCCTAAATATGGGCAGTGGAGCACGCTCTGCTGATACAATAAGGGCAGAGAAGTTAGAATGCTTCATGGCTTTTATGACCACCTGTGTAGGCTCAGACATGAGCCCTTACATGTATTCAACCAAGTTCATTTATGGTCTTCCCCCAGCAACATTCCAGTCATCTTTTCTGCTGCTTAATTTTCTGGAGACTTCCAAGTTCAGCAAACAGGGAGAGGCCACTCAGGGGCAAGACTGCCAAATGCTCTGGTTGTCTCCACACTCCAGACTCTGACTTGGCACTAAGCAAGAGTGTGCTGCAGTTAACAAGGGGAATATGGGTCACCCAATTATTGCGTTGCTACTCTTGATGCCTTCGTTCTTTGTCTACAGGCCTTTTCTCCCATCCACACAATGTGAGGCCATGCTCCCGTAAGGCACAGGGTTTCCAAGGAAGGACTGATACAGCAGTGGTCAGATGAACTCCACCAACT